GCTGTTGAATGTCACTGCATGACTGATAAGAACTACAGCATCCCACTGTGAGATGCTCCGCCCAGAGGGAAGCCAAGCATTCCTACCTGGACAGAATCTGGAGATTCTGGAATACCAGCACAGCTTCTCCACTGGATTTCCCAGGGGAACAGCAGCTGCCTCTTCTTCCACTGGATCTTCAGAGGAAGATGACACCATTTTCTACAGGATCCCAGCTCCAGCAGAACCACACCTGACACTCCAGGAGGACTGCAGCCACAATTCCAACTGGACTGCTACCAGCACCCTGACCAACAGGGTGTCAGGTTGTGTTCTGACTCTGTCAGTGTTGTTTTAGTTTACTGCATTGTTTATTTTATCTTTTTATTTTCTTCCCTATTAAAGACCTGTTACTTCCTGCTCCCATATATTTTGCCTGAGAGCCCCTTAATTTAAAATTTATAGCAATTCGGGGGTGGGGGGGGAGGTTATATTCTCCATTTCAGGGGAGGCTCCTGCCTTCCTTAGTAGGCACCTGTCTTTCCCAACCAAGACAATGGGGCAGGGCAGCACTGCCCTGTGGGAATAAGAACCTGTGGGATGTGCCAAAAAACCCCACAACCACCTCAACCACAGCAGTTACTGACACTAGCCAAGGGGGGAAAAAGCCAAATATTCCTTCTGCAGCATTGTGAACTATGAAACATTTCCAGTGGTATGGCAGGATAGTCCAAGGACAAGCAGCTGAACAAGTTCTGAGAACTCATATCATTTATCTAGTTGAGATGTCATCTAAATATTGTCTAATATTTAGTAATTTAATTGCAATAATGGTTCCAGTGATCTAAAATACAAACCAAATAGAGGAGCATCGAAGCTCTGTGTTCTTGCAAACCCTTGTTTGACAAAGTTCCATCAAGAAGCTGGAGGCTGATGCAGAATTCAGCTTTCCCATACAAAAAGAGGTCAGATCTTAAAAGCCTAACTAAATGTTTTCACTATTAGAGCCCTGAGTCATGCCCCAGGAAGAAGCACTGAGTTCCAAGTAAGGCTCCCTACCTTGGGAGCTCAGAGCTGCATCTTTGGAGGTTCACCTTCACTTCCTCTAAACTCACTTGGATAGAAAAGGGCTGAGGGGTGTCAGGAGGAGGAAGGGAGTGCTGGCACAGACATACACACACACACACACACACACCATGTGAAGGCTGAGGAAAATGGTGGTACCACATGGCCAGAGAAGAGGGGAAGCAGCTGTTCCTCAGCCAGTGCTGCCGCAGATTCCGTGTCCTGCTGAGGTTTGCTGTGAGATGGCCACACACCGGCTGTGTGGCGTGGGGCAGAACCCTGCCCAGTGTTCCAGCAAGCACAGCCTCAGGTGGAGCTGACACAGGGCACCCCCCAGCGCTGGTGCATCCCCCAGTCATGACACTGCAGCATCTTCCTGCATCTGGGACAGACCCTGTGAGCAGAGCCTGCACAAGAACTACAAATAAATAAGGAAATAAGTAGAAGTTTTCCTGGCCTTTTCCTATCCCAGAAATCTTCTGCCACCCACGCTGCTCCCCACCCAGCCCCAGCATGTTGACACAAGCCCGGTGATTGGGAAGATGCTGGCACAGGAGCTGCTCCAGGACAGCAACTGCTGCAGGGGCTGGGAGCCAGCTACAGCAAAAGCTTGTTGAGACATTTTCTGAGAGAGAAAAAGAGGAGGTGAACACCACTCCAGATACCATGGCTCTAGGATTATCCTGGAGATGTTGGCGTGAATTTTGTTTTCAGCTTGGGCAAGTCAATGCCCACAGCTTCGCTAGTGGTCCCCCTACACACCTGATCTTACCCATGGATGTTCTGCTCTCCTGCCAAAGGAAAAGGTCCTATGGAAGCAAATGCTGCAGCTTCCCCACACACTGAACTGAACAAGGTCAGCTGGAATAAAGCAGGGAATGAAAATAGAGCTGCCATTTCTTATGTGGGAATAACAGAAAGGCTGGCACTGGGGTTTTCTTTTGCAAGGAGAAACTAGGAAACAATCACCAGGGGTTTATAGATTCCGTGTCAGAGGAAAATTGAAGGGGTAAGAGCAGATGCATTTGTTATATAGAAGACTCATCATTAGAAATGAACATATAAAATTTAATAGCTTGGTTTAAAATACATTTTCAATTAAAAAACAGCAGGCAAAACAAAAAAAATCAGTTTCATAAAACATACATGACATTGCTGCTACTGTTATAAGACCCGTGTCCCAGAATATCTTATAGTGGAAAACAATCGTCAGATTTAGTTCACATACTTCATTAAGCAGTAAAAAGAAGTAACATTCATGTCAATCTTACCTCTATGGAGATTCTAAATCTACTTCCCTGACCCTAGACCAAGTTTCCGTAATAAAACTTCCACTCTCAATAAAAATGTGTAAATATATATACGTATTCTATATATCAGTTTTTTTAAAAAATTCCCTTGCCACAGCAGAAGTATTCCCGTGACGGCCGAAGGGGAGCCCAAGCAGGAGGCTGGTGCTGGCTGGGTACGAGCCCCTGGCTGCTCTGCTGGGTGCATTCCTGCACAGGGGCAGGGGTTGGCCAAGTCTCTTCAGCACCGTGCTGCACATCAGCCTCTCCCTTCGGCCCCGAGCCCACGTGTCCTGGCCACATGCCCACAGCCACTGTGTGAGTTTGCTCAAGGAGAAGGAAGGAGGGGGGAATAGAGGGGGGAATGGAATGAACCAGCTCAGGACTGATCGAAATACAAATTCAAAAATACTGTATTTTAATAAATCATTAAAAAAGAACGGGGGGAGGGACTTCAAGTGGTCACCAAGGGAGAATCAATTACACCTGTGACAGTCCAAGGATACCTTTGCTCAGCCTGGCTCTGAAGACCTTTGATGCCAAACCACTGCCTCTATGGGCAACCTGCTCTTCTCATTAGAGAAAACTGCCTCAACACCCAGCCTGAAAGTCTGTGATTTACACCCACTACTCCCGTGCTTGCCATGGATAGGGAGGACATGTCCGTGGGTCGGGAGGCTGCTCCCATCAGTCATCCCATCTGAACATGACCCCTCACCAGCCAGACCATGCAGGCCTTCCTCCTCAGAAGCCAGGAGCTTTGGCTGAAGGACCACGGGGTCTGTGCTCCAGTGGAGGCCTTGGTGGTGCCAAGCAGAGCCAAAGTGGGGAGGTCTCCTATTTCTTTCAGGTCATTCTTCTGTTGATCAACTCAATGTGGCATTTGCCTTCCTCTTCCAAACAACACCATGACAGAGCTAAACAATAGTAGGTTACAATTTGTTAACCATTAAGCAGACTTATTAATTATTAAATAAAATCATATGCTACTTTTCCAGATTATTTCTCCAGTCTTTCCAGGTTGACCTTCAGGTCCTAGGTGAGGTATGTGCAGCTTTGCACTGTCTGAAAATGTTACAAACCTCTTTCGATACCCAGATCCTTAATTAAAGCTCTGACACCAGACCTGGTACTCACGTTCATCTGCTCACTGTGTAACTGAGGTTTTTGCCTTAATGCTGCCCTCTAAGTGCTCCTCTTTCACTTGCTAATAACCAAAGAGTGCCTTTCCTTCATAAGCACATGCACACGATGAGTAAATGGCACAGGGCAATACTCTCTGGAGGTGTCTGGCACTCCTAGCTGGGGCTCAGGATGCCTGCTGTGCCCACTGGGTCTCTCCAGCTCAGCAGCAGGTCCACAGTATGTACAGACACCAAGAATGCAAAACATACTTGGAGTCCCTACTCCCCGCTAACACTTGGCCTGCTGAGCCATTTTGGCACCTTCCTCTCTCCAAAGCCTTGCCTGTGCATTTCCAGTTGTTGGCATCCTAGGCCTTGCAAGCTGGTTCCTCTAGCCCATGGGTTCATCCAGCCTGAGCTGCTGGTGTGGGCAGCATCCAGCTGAGCCTCAAGTACACTGCTACAGAAAAAAACCCACCTTTGAGGAGACCTTCTTCCTGACCCCCAAACAGGAGACTTCAAGAGAACTGCATCTGTCCAGCTCCTCCTGTGAACCAGTTCTCAGACTTGGCCCAAATCACCTCCCAGGACAGCATCACCCAGCTGTTCAGGACTTAGTGGCAGTTCATGAGAGAAACCAGGACTTCCATTGCCTGCCTGTGCATGAGGATTTAGGAAAGAGCTGGTATCTTCTTCCTTCTACATAGGAAGATCCATGTTTAACAAGCAGGTCTCTTGTGCCTTCTATGAATGTACAAACGTGTGCTCACCTTTGGTGCATGATAATGGTTTGTCCATTTTTAAATATCTATGTTAAATATGTTTTTTCTGTATATGGCATCCTTTTAGATGGGCTTCATTGCATATATTCACGGTATATACAGAACACCATATTTTATATATATTATATATTGCTTATATGTACACATTTACAAACCTTCAAAAATATATTGCACTTATATACAATATAGCTTCATCTGATGAGAGTTCACACAGTTACTAAGGCGAGTTCTTCATAAGCAAGGCAGTTTTACATTCCCCCCAAATGACACAAGTGATTTCAACAGTCTGCCCTGGTCACAAGTAAACATTATAGACTTTTCTCCAACCTGCATGCAACTCCTACTAACATCAATTAGTAGTTTTGCAGCTCTCCCTAGCAGAAAACAGTCCAGTAAAATGGTATTAGCTGATAACAGGCTCAAACATGGTTACTAAATAGATAAATAAGACATCACCAGTGTAAAAGGCCACCTTACAGGAGATTTCCCATCCCATACCTACTAGTGGTTTATACACTAGTAAAAATATATACATGCTCTCCACTTAATTGCCAATCTTTGCTTGCCCATTTCAAGTGCAAATAAGATCATGAGCAAGAACACAAACAAAAATGTATTAAGCAAAACCACTGCTCTGCTCCCCAGAACAAGTCAAACATCTGGCTTTCTTCTGGAGGTGATTAGTGTTTTGCCCAACATACTGAATTATGGGAAAATGTTCACTTGAGACCTTTGTTTAAAATCCACAGTGATCTGTGATCTTAGATCTCAGTCAAAGTCAGCTTGTAAGATCCTCCAACCTCTTCAATCTGCAGCTGGAAGGTATCTTCATTAGAATAGTGTTTCACAATGTTATCATCCATGTTGACCAGAATTCTGGAAAAACAAAACAGAACAGGTATTTTACAGTTCTGAATGTAAAAGGCACTCTCAAACCTAAAAAGCCTGGACTATCCAAGGGTAACACAAGATCCTGCTCATCCCTCTCTGACTCATTGCTTCCCATAGCAGATCTGGCTGCTCTGACCCAACCCTGCCATCAAGGCTGGTAGCCACACTTCTCAGGGTCTGAATGGAAGGATTAAATCTGGCTCCTGGACCAGGGAGGGAGAGAGATCTTGGAACCAGCAGAGTCCTTCTGAAGCTGCAGGCACCTGGGGCTCTGAATGGGTTTGCTAGTCAGTTATGAACTATCAGCACAAAACCCTTCAGAGCTTGCAGGGAAGAAATCACCCATGCTTGGCCACTTCTTTCATTTGCCAGAAAGGTCAATACCCATGTGTTTGTGTGCACACACGCACACAAAGCTGTGCTTAGCAGTGGTTTAGATATCACAGATTTTAAGCTTTTTGCAGCTGTTCTGGTGGGGTAATTCTGCTATGAAAGCACAACCCTGGAAGGGTGTAATTTTCTGGCTAGAAGGAGAAGGGGCTGAGACACCAAACTAACAACCATTTACAGACAACAAGAAAATTACTGAGAAATTAAAAGATGAAACAAAAGCAGACAATGTTCAGAAACTCAATTACTTAAGCTACTAAATAAAAAGATTAAGTAGGGTCTCTGGGAGAAATAGACACTTCACAACTAAGTTCTCTTCAATTTAGCCCACAAAAATACAACCAGGGTTCAGTAATTATAGCCAAATGCAGATATAGTAAGTCCAGTCACCACTGGAACAATTTAACATTGGCTGGAGGAGGTTCTTCATCACTGGGAGTCTTTTAACAAACTGAACTCTTCTTCCTCTGACATGATCAACTCTGGTTCAAATAACAATTAGCTCAGAGAGGTTCAGTGACTCGTATTTTACCCAGGAAGCCAGACTACATATTTCTACAGGACCCTTCCTATAGTCTTCAGCTCTGTGGATGATGTTGAAATGTGTGTACTTGTGTGCACATAAACATAACAGCAAATGGCATTCACATATCTGCAGTGCTTGGAGGAATTATACAGCAGATCTGCCTACAGGTTTGAAAAAGGTGTTCATATTCTTAGGCAGTTACTGCGCAGGTACATACTCACCCTTTTTTACACTTTTTGAAGATTTTTCCTATTTTATCAAAAGGAACATCATACTTGTCAGATATCTAGAACAAAAGAAAGCAAGGATTGGTGAAGCAAGGAGACTGCTGTCATTGTCTTTTGCTTCCTATTTTACAGAAAGGAACAACCACAACAAAAAGCTTGCAAATGAGGACAACTCTGCCCTACAAAGGCAACACTAAATCCCAAACTATAAATCTGTAAATCTACAGATCAGAACCCCTTCTCTGCATTTAGCTAACCTCTGTGCAAAAAAATTAATAATGTTTGAATCTGGATACTCACTTCTCATACAGCAACCTCCCACCCCTACTCTCGAAAGCCCACCCACTTAAAGCCCACGCCACACCCTGACTCTTATTCTCTCTTGGCTCTCTGTTCTCTCAGCATACTGAAAACCATTTTTTAATTTAGTGCCAGAGGGATCAAGTGAAAACTAGTCATGACAGTGGCTGAAAGAAGAAAATAGAGAGAGGACCTGTGCTGCTAAGGGCATGAGGTGATCAGAAACATTCTCCTTCCCCAGCAGGGTGACATCAGTGTGGAGCCACAGCCACTGACCATGGCACTTCACTGCACAACCTCCACAAAGTCGTGATGTCAGTAACCTAAGCCTGGTTTACTCTGGCAAACTGCTCTATCACACCGACAGTAAATACCAAACCAATACACTGCTTTGACATGCAAATGTACAGGGAGCTTCCCCCAAGCTACAGCTGTGAGCACTTGGTTCCTTGTTCTAAGAAATCCGAGTGAAACAACAGAGGTGCAGCTTCACTTCAGGACCATGGGATAATGGAAGATTTCACAGCTTTCAATCCCTTTCCATTAGCCCCCACCCTCCAGCTGGCAAAGCCTCACAGCCAGGAAGAGATAAAGATTCTGGTTACACAACTATCTCTACCACCAAAAGTTAATGGCCAGACCTGTCTGCACATCCCCAAAGCCCCTGTTCCCTGAGCAGAGGCATTAGTCACATAAAGAGACAGACAAATGTCAGTTCTGAGCTCATGCCAAATATTACACCATTCCTTGGACTTAATCTTAGTACTTCCCTTGCTCTGCAGCAGCAGGGACAGTGGAAGGCTATTTTGGAAGTCAAGCAGCAGAGAGCAATTTCACACATGTGTGCACAGATAGATAAAAGTGTTCAGCAACACACAGAAGCTGGGACTTGCAGCTCTGCATTACCAGCTTGTGAAAGGACAGTGGAGGGGCCCTAACATGATTTTGAAAGGCTGAAACAAACCCAAGCCACCGGACACATTCTGAAAATCCATGTCCTAACAAAAGTACCCTCTCCGGCAAGAGGAACATCCAATCATCGAGTTTGACAGACCTGAATCTTCAGGAAGGCTTCTTACAACCAGACTCCACAGATGTGGGGTAAGGTACTTGAAAGGCAAGCTTCCTGAATTCCCCTAACAATAAATTCAAGCATTATTTGCATTCATTTCCATGTTATTGAAAGGAAGTCTTCCTTATTCTTCTTACCCAGAAGAGCAGAAATGTGTGAACACAAGCTGTGACTGCAAGTCTGACTCTGGTGTGTAAGGACTGGGTAGCCAGGGCTGCTTCTCAAGGACTACAAACCAACCTCGTCACTTACCGCTTCCATCAGGCCTTTCAGAGATGGTGTCTTCAACATTAGTGCATCAAACACTTCCTCTGACTCTTTTCGGACATACAGCAACACTGGAAAGCAATTTGGAGAGGAATTAACTGTGCAATTGCTCCTCAGGAAAAATCTGTATCCCACAGTGGCTAAGCACACGGGGACATCCACTGAGGACCTTATGAAGAAACACATGCATACATTCAATATACATTTAAGGCTGTAGCACAAACACACACTGCCAGGTTAGCTCACAACTTACTTCTTGCACATAAAGCCACTGTATGCTCAAGCATCTTTACTGTCAAAATATCTCTGTATTTTATTTTCTCTATTATAAGAAAAAAAGGTCATATTTGAAACAAATAAAGGAGGAACACAAAACACAAATCTTTGAGACTCTTGGATTCCTCCATATCTTACAGTCATTTGCCATAAGACTTTCCACAATCAAATGATTTCACAGATGCTATCACAGCAGGTGAAGCCATCCTGGCCACTTTCTAATTTTTAAATTATTTATTTGTACAGTTCTGTGCTCTTCCTATGCTGTCTTATCTTTCTTCCTGCCCCTTGCTGTGTTTCAGCTCTTACCACCAGAGCTGACATACAGTGCAGGCTTGGTCTCCTCCAGGAGGGGAATGAAAGAGCAAGAACCCCAATTAGGTGAGCATCCCTAGCGTTCTCAAGCTAGCACAGACTCATTGCATGTAACATCAGCATCATTAAAAACTGCATTAAGGCTGAGGAATTAGCCAGGAGAGCAAGAAAGCTTGGACTTTAACAGCTTTGCTGTCTTTAATCCATCTTCTAATGACTAGGTATTGCAGCCTGGATTGTTTGTAAGGGTTCATCAGCCACAGCTTTGACACACCTGCAACATGCAACAATTACTGGCATTTCTAATGGAACAAGGTGAACTCAGGACAGCACAGCACCTTGATGCATTTCCCAATTTGCCTGTTAAAGGCAGTTTTAAAAAAGGGAGGACTGTAGATTTGAAAAAGGAAGACAGGACACATACTCTCAGTTACAGCACATATCAGATGAGAGCCAGCCAAAGGAGAGAGAATCTCATGGGGCTTGTTTTATGGCATAAAGCAATATGAAAAAAAAAAAAAAAAAAAAAGAAGTCTGATTTCCTTCTATAAAATTCATCCTTCCTTATTACTTTATCCAGACTGCAGAAGAGCAGCCCCATTATGGTCAGACTTGCTAGATTTAGCATTTGCTTCTTCATAGGTTTAATACTACAAGCTTTGTTGTGGTCCTGCCAAACACAACTATCATCAATCAGGTACACCACCTCCAACACCCCAAAGGGACCTCTCATCTCCTTCCACAACACCACAGCAACATGAAATTGCAGAGACTGAAACTCAAGTTAAAAATCAGCTGAATATTCTCTTAGCTTGGCTTTCAGAGGTGAACATCCCATTTCCTGGCACCATGAAAGAGGCAACAGTTTTATACCCAGAACCAGTTCTTGGCGTTCATTGCTTGAAGTCCTGGAGGAGATTTCCTGAGTATTTTGCAGCAGATTACATGATGAATTCTCTGCCCCAGTTCATTAGGGATACTAGTAAGCTGCTCACCTCATCTTGACTCTTTCCTCATAGGTTCAGAGCCCATTACTGTCCAAGTTGGCAGAAACCCCCAGAAATTCTCACAATATAAAATATTTGCACAGCTGAACCATAACTTGATACATGAACTGTCACTACTCAAAGCCAGAAAAATCAGCCTGAAGTATACATCAGTATGAATTAAAAAATTCTTTAACCTCAGATGCATCTCTCTATCATGATGGATAAATACTCCAAAAATTCAGTCTCTGAAAGAAGAAAATACCTCTTTTTGGCTCTTCTATTCTGGCCATCTTATTTGGAGTAGCAATGAAGTCCTCTTCACCAATATAAGCTCCTCTCTTCAGGTTGGAGCTGTCATTGACAGGACAAAAAGTCAGCAGTGGTACAACTACAGGGACTTATCCCTCTGTCTGAGAGCAAGGTGTCAGGAGGTTGAAGGGCACCTCTTACCTTTCACCCTCTAGTTCTTCTGAAGCAACAGGAAGGACCTTTAAAAACAAAGGGGAGATTTTGTGAATATTTCATCTGAAACTAGAAATAATTTTCTCTTATAATCTTTCAACGCTATATCAAATGACACTTTGGCTCCAAAAGCCAGTAAACATCTTCTTTACCTTTTTTTCATAAAAAGTAATAAAGGATCTCAAATGAGAGATGGGAACAAAAAGAAGCTAACCAGCATTCTTCCTGGACTGGTGTAGAATATTCTGACAAAACTAGCAACAAAACTAGCACTAGGGCCTTTGCAGAAAAACATGCAGGAATGTCAGCCTTATGGATGCAAGTTTATTCTCCATCCTTTTCTAGGAGTTCAGGCATTGCTCTTAAAAAGTAAGGTTTAGATTATGTTAGAGAATGGCAGAACTCCTGGCACAGCAAAGTTCAAGATTTTGAAAGCTGGCTGCACGCTAATTTTTTCCTTTCGTGTTTCTTGTAAGCTGGAACTTTCCAGGAACACTGAGGCAGGGTGCTCTGGCAGTGGATCACAGAGCTGACACACATGCCAGTTCCACAGGATGGATTTTCACCCTGCAGCAGGCATCTGGAGGAGTCTGTGCTGTACAACAGCACACCAGGATCGCAAGGGATGTTACAAGAAAAAAACACCCTGCAGTTCATGCAATGGAAAAATCCTTTCAGGTTCACAGAAACTGGACTTGATAGGAAAATAATTTGATGGTGAAACACCCCCAGCTAACTTCAGGCAATGCACCTTGGAGGAACATTTCTTGCCCACATGAGACTCAGTCTGTATTTGATTCCAGCACTGATGCAGCCTGACATTTCATATGTACATACACACACACAGCATCCCAGGCCTTTTGCAAAAACATCTGAGAGCCTCTTCATCCCCACACCCATGAGCTTTACTCACGTGAGCCCCACGCTGCAGGTTGGCAAAGTGAACATCAGGGATGAACAGGACAGGCTGAGTGTCTAGGTCCATGAAGGGCTTGAAGATGGTGATGTCAGTACGTTTGTGCGAGGGAAGCATGGGCACTTTGACATCAGAAACTGTGGAGACAAAGATCAGGATAGAGGATGCTGAAGGTCCTCATGGGCCCCTACATCATTTAGAAGATACATACACTGCTGAACAAGGGTATTCTGCAGTCAGGGTCAAAGCAAAAAGCTCCTGTGGTAAAAGAGTTTGAACTTTGGTTGTGTCCCTCTCAGCTGAGGGCCTGGGCCCTGAGGGCTTGTTTCACAGAGTAGTCAAAGCTTTCTCCACCTCTCCAGCTGAGCAACTCAGCTTTGTTCAGATATTAATTAGGATGGACAATAATGTGGCACTCAGCTCAAGAGAGGAACCGAAGTCTTCCATGTACCAAGTCAGCCATCCAAACAGAGGACAAAAATCAGTCCCTGCCCCACCTTCTCCCTCTCCATTCCCTCACAAGCTTGCTGGTGTTCCTGTGCCAGGAGGATACAAAGAAGACAAAGGGACAACTTGAGTGTTCTCAATTGGGAGCATCTTAAAGAGACAGCAGCACTATACTACAGAGGTAGTACAAATGCTGGTTTGTGCAAATTGTTATATTTAAAGCTACATTTTAATTCCACACTTCCAAGTTTTACATTCTAGTTCCTCCCATTGTTCATCCTGGTCACCTCAGGGTGCCAGCCCCTAGTCCATTCCCCCAGGATCACCAGGATCCATTTCCCAAAGAGCCCTCTGGCTCTCACGATGTACCAGCTGATGTGACACAACCCACCAAGAGGACAAACTTCATCCACAAAGACTCTCTGAGGAGAAAGTGAGGCAGAAGGTGCCTTAAACCACATTTCAGACACATTCATGTCAAAATATCACAGTTGAAGAGTTTATTTTACCTAGTGGAAACATATCCATCTGAGGTCAAACCAACTGCAAACAGAATAAATGTTTTTCAAACAAAACCATTTCTCATGTCCTCAGTAGAAAATACACTATTTTCTCTTTGCAAAACAGATTTTTTTAAAGATTGCTCAATTTCTGTAAAAATAACTTTGCCCAAAAGCCACCAACTGTTTCTGTTGTTAGAGTTCACGTACACGTGGTATTTGTGATCCTGGAGGTGAGTATAACAGCTTATGGCTTTGAGGAATCAAAAACTTCCCAGATAAGAACTAAAAAGCCAAAGATCGTACTTTCCAGGAAAATAAAGATCACATCGGGCTAAGCCCAAGCCTGGAAAACTAACATTGGAAATCAGCTTTTGTCAAATCATAAGATCCTGGGAAATGTGTAGTGACCCTGCCTTCCCTTTCCAGCCACGATGCAAAGGCTGCACGCAGCAATCTTCTGGGAGCCGCTGGGGCTGCTGGTTTGTGAAACGCTAACAGCGCACTAAACCTGCCTCTTGTGACGTCCTTTGAAAGAAACCAAAGACCCAGCCCTTTCCACAACTTCCCTTGAGCAAAATGGGTTCCTTCAGCATTATCTTCTGAAGCTGCTCCAGCAGCCTGTACCTGCTGTGTCAGGAAAATCCTGCCTGGCGAGCTGAGAGGTGCGTGCTGGCTGAACCAGTCGGGCTGTTAACAGCAGAGCAAGCGAGAGCACACGCCTGCCCCGTGCCCACGAAGAGCAGGGAGACAGATCTTCCTCTAGGCAGCTCTGCTGCTGAATAACCAGTCATCCAAACAGAGGATCTGTCATCTGCAGCAGCGAGAGGAAGATGCTCAGCAGGAAGAAACTCTTCATCCTTTGTGTACTACAGTGCTGAGGTCTCCACATACTTCACATATGCAGAAACTTTGAAATTACTTGCTAAGGATGACTTTGCTCTAGAAGAGTGAGCATAGGGCTGAGAGCCTGGAGGCTCAGCCTCAAGGCTGCCACAGCCTTGCTGACGAGTTGCAAACACGTTTTTGATTTAAGTTAAAAGCTAAGTTTAGGATCAAGCTGAAAATATTTGGAACTGATCATTCTCACTACCACCTGGATTGGGAGGGTCTCTAGCCCAAAAATGCCACCCTCACCTCACCACTTCAACTGCTACAACCCATCCTGACTGAATACACAGCAGGACCCTGTCTTGGACAGAAAGAACTATACAGACTTAAGACCTAAATGACCCAGTGTGTTGCAAAACACAATGACTGTTCCATAAAGAACTGCTTAAAACAAGCATTGGTCCATAGAGGATAAAAATTAACTTGAGAGTTCTACTACACAAGCTATTTGTAGCCAAAATAAAATCCAATATTTATAATACTAATGGAATAAGTTCTACTTACAGGCATTCAACTGAGAGCTGGGATCAGTGCACTTGCCTTTTCTTTTGCTTTGCTTTCGCTCTTCATCCCTGATCTTCCTCTCTGCTCCCTGTCAGACAAGAGATGAAGGGAAAGCAATGGGAGAGTGAAGAAGAAGGGAGGGGGAAAAAGAGAAAGAGAAGGTATTTTTAATTTTTTAGGTTTTTTTCAGCTGCGGAGGCAGGAACAGCAATTCTTCCAAAGCTATGTTTGTGGAGGTCAGTTCCACAGTACCCGAGCTGCAGGTGTGCCAGAGTGTGTCAACTTTGAGATCTGCTTACTTTTGAGTCCTATCATCTAATGAAATCCAACTACCATATCCAAGATGCAAACGCTTGCTTTTCTTTCAAGTCAGATGGAGATATGGTGACAAAAGATACCCATGTCTATAACAATTGCATAAAACATTAGATAAAAGTATCATTGAAGTGTTTAAAACAATAAAGAATTGAAGATTCTCCCAGTTTAGGAGATAGCTTGATTGTCATTAAAGTCACACCACAGAAGTCACACCACACTTGGATCACCAAGTGCAAGATACCTCCTGCACATTTCACACAGAGCCTGCAGCAGTTGCACCAGCCTTCACTGAGCTCAAGCTGCAGACATGCACTGCTTTAAAGCAGGGATTATTTCTTCTCTTTTGATCAGGGCCAGGCCATGGTGGAATCCACAGATTCCCTAACTGGGTTCATGCCTGCACTGTTCCTGGCCTTCCAAACCAAGCAGCAGAGAGGACAGTGCCATATTGCCATTTTTTCTGCAAGGTGCAGACAGCTAGGATGGAGAAAGAAAAGGAAGAAAGAAGCTTTGGAATAGTGTTCATTCCTCCAGCTCTGCCCAGGCCTCACCCGTGACTGTGGGTTAAGCCAGGGATGTCACGTTGCCAGCTGCACGAAGTGATGAGCCCACAGGAGATCACCAACACTCAATCCTGGTGCTACCACCAGGTCACCAAAACTGGTATACACAAGTTCTACCTGTCTCCCAGTGCCCTCCTGCAAAGCAGGGCAAAAGGTTACAGTTACCTGGACACACCAGCCATGATTTCTCATTCCCTGTCCTTCAGAGCTGCCAGAACACACCCACGTCCTTGCATGGTACTGGAGGAAGACTTGATTAGCTACAGCAAACGAGGTGCCAAAACTCCTGTGGCCATGGGGTGGGACTCAGTGCCTAATGGTGCATGGGAGAAGGGGAACAGCCCTCCTCACTTTCCAGTAAATCAATGCTCTATAGATGCCAGGCTGCCTATGCCTGCTGGTAGCACTGGGCTTATCTGCACCAGCAATAAAAACGAAAATTAGCCAAGATATTTGATACACATTAACATGTATCATCTTTTCTTCCACCCAATGAGCGGGAAAAAAAACAGCTTCAGGCAGCTGCAGTGAAAAGAGAAAAAATTACACATGAAGACACAGGCATCGCCAGCTCTGCTTGACCCAATAAAGCTGATATAGCCCACTACAGTGAAGACATCCCACCTAAACCTCAGCACAGCTGGACCTGAACTCCTCTGTGTCCAGTGCAGTCACTACATATCAGCCTGACAGCAGGAAGATTAGATTAGCTTCCACATCTGATTTTTACCTTTCATGTGGAAATAATCAAGTTGTGCTACTCAAACACTCTGCTACAGAACAGCATCTGCTTCCTCATGGAGAACGTGCTGATTCAGTAAGAGCACACATTTTGAGAAAACCTCTGCCCTCCCATTCCCCACCTGAAAGTCAACTTGATGCAGGCTACTGAGGCCCAGGTAAATATGTCTCAAAACCCACATAAAAAAAAAAAAAAATTATGTCTTGGTAACAGCCTTTTCTGCCCTGCCAGCAGAGCTCAGGGAGCAGTGGTTTCAAATGGAAAGAGGACAGTTTTATACTGGACATAAGGAGAAAAATTTTTTCTGATGAGGGTGGTGAGGCAGTGGAACAGGCTGGCCAGAGAAGCTGTGAATGCCCCATCCCTGGGAGTGTTCAAAGCCAGGTTGGATGGGGCTTTGAGTAAGCTGGCCTAATGGAATGTATCCCTGACCATGGCAGAGATCTAGACTAGATGACCTTTAAAGGTGCTTTGCAACCCAAACCATTCTGTGATCGTGCAACTGAAAGAACAGTCTCCATGCTGCTGCCCCTTCCCAACAATGCTCCAGCAGCCTTGCACCCACTCTTTCCTTCATTTGTTCCTACCATCCCATGAAAGCCTTCCCACAGCCCTGCCCATCGCTACCAGAGGAACAGCAGAGCCCAGAGGGCAACACGAGCTCTAGTCAGTGCAACCCTGTATTTCATTCTCCTCATGTGGGTCCATAGCTGAGGTACCATTCAGAATTTAGGAGGTCGTCTTCCTCTAGGACAGGTCAGCCCCATCCCTGCTCAGCCCAAATATTGCTGGGCCAAGCCTGAAGGAAGCTTGTGCCATAAGGATGACACCATTATACCCATACTGCTTTACTCAGGTCCTGAAACCACACAGGAGTAGATGAAAATCAAACAACCCAGGCACTGCAAGCACAGCCTTGACAAAGGAATAGAGGAGACATCTGTGTTGGTGGCCACAACATCATCATTTTCTGCTGGTTTGCAGTTTTTTTCCAGGAGACCTCCACACTACAGACTTGGCCCTCCACAAAGAAAACATGGGTAACAGAACTTCTACAGGTAAGAGTGGTCACATGAGGACAAACACATTCAGAGCTGTAACAGGTGTGGATATTATAGTAACAATGGTCTTATAAACATTCAAAAGCAGCTCCTTGATTACATACAATTCAATACAGAATTGGGCAGAAAACAGGCGCTCCTTCTGAAATGCCAATGCTCTTTCAGGAGCCTGAAGCAAGCAGCCAGCATTGGGGTCCATGAGTACGTGGGGGTTGTGTATGATATGATAGCATGCAGGGGCTACAGGCATGGATTCTCTGAGGGGATGTTTATTCCAAAAAGAAGCTTCCCTCATGCCCAACAGAGTCAATGCCAGTCAGCTTAAGATGGCCAAGGCCCATCAGCAATAGTGGTAGTGCCTCTGGGCTTATGTATTTAAGAAAGAGAAAAAGTGTTCTGCAGCAACAGCCAGGAGCAAAGTGAGAATATACAAAAGAAACAGCTCTGCAGATCCCAAGGTCAGTGCAGAAGGGGGAAGCCAGGCACTGGAGCAGAGATTCCCCTGCAGCCCCTGGTGCAGCCCATGGTGGGGCAGCTGTGCCCCTGCAGCCCATGGAGGTCCATGGGGGAGCAGAGATCCACCTGCAGCCTCGGCAGGACCCCACACCAGAGCAGGTGGACAGCCAAAGGAGGCTGTGATTCTGTGGGAAGTCTGTGCTGGAGCAGGGCTCTGGCAGGATCTTGGCCCCATGGAGAAAGGAGCCCATGCTGGAGCAGGTTTGCTGTCCTGCCCTGTGGGGCACCAACATGGAGAAGCCTGTTCCTGAAGAACTGCACCCCATGGAAGGGACCCCTGCTGAAGCTCTTTGTGAAGAACTGTAGCCAGTGGGAAGGGCTCATGGTAGAGAAGTTTGTGGAAACTGTCTCCCATGGAAGGCACCCCATGCTGAAGCCAGGGAAGAGTGTGAGGAGTCCTCCCCGTGAGGAGGAAGGAGCATCGGAGATGTGTGAAAAACTGACCACAGCCCCCATTCCCCTGCACTATTGCAAGGGACAAGGGAGAGAATTAGGGAGTGAAGCTGAGCCTGAAAAGAAGGGAAGGGTGAAAGGAAGGTACTTTAAGATTCAGTTTTGTATTTTATTATCCTGTTCTGATTATGATTTACATTTCTCCTTCCCTTCTTCACTCCTCTTTTAATTCAGGTACAATGTGCAAAGTATCTGGAGGAGTAAATCCGAAGAGTAAGTCGAAGTCCCAAACGGAAATAAAAGATGCACTGGCATTACTATATTACTAGATTTGCTGAAATTTCTGCCATAGCTTGAAGGAAGCCATTGGAGTCTATATGCTGGCTACACATCTGCCTTTTTATTAACAAATTTGTCTTATTAGCAGTGGCACAAGCCTATCAGTCATTTCAGCATTGTGTCAGTAATTGATCAGACAGTTTAGGAGAAAAAGATCCCCCCCTACCCTGTATCAAGCCTGTCCTCTCTGTATTGTAGGGAAAAAAGGTTGATAGCACACAGGACTCCCAGATTACTTTGGTGAAATAGCATTAGATTACACAGTTGCTCCAGTCTCATCTTGAAAAATGAAAAAGAAAACAGAAAAAGAAGGAAAAATAAAGGCCTGAAGAAATCTCATGAGACCCAAGCCTCTTAGGCTTACTGGCAAGTCTTTAAGATGGCTCTGGAGAGCCTTTGCTAAGTCTCTGTAAATTCTCTGCAGAAAGTATCACAACAGGAGCAGCTACAGGCAGCTCTCCCAGCTGTGCAGGAATGCAGAGGGACCCAATTAAAAGCCCAGAGATGGACAACAGAATGTGGCAGGGTGAGTTAACGGGATGCTACAGCAGGGGCACAGTGCAGAGGCACCGTGTATTTTGGGAGGTAAGCGGAGACAGAACAATGGTGCATGAGATAAATGTTGTGTCACTGTCCTAGGGAACACCAGGCAAGACCACAAGAGGTCTGGCAAAGCCAGCACAGGACCAGAGAGGGGGGTTACAGACCTGCCTCAGCCCTGCAGCCGCACGGAGAGGCACTGGAGCTATCACCTGAAAGAGTCTGCCCTGTGAAGATGGAGTCTGGATGCCAAGAATAAGAGGCCCAAATCAAGCAGGATATCAGCAAAATAGGAAGTCAACATGGTTCACAGCAATCAAAAGGACTGGGGAAGTCCAGGAAGCATTTATCATGGCTTAGAACAATCTTGGTCACTCTGGAAATAGTAACATTACACATTACTTGCCCTGGACCTTCAAAAGACTGCTCAGGCAGGAACAGGTTATGAAAATGGGGAATTTGCCTTTATTTGCAAACTCAGTTAAGCTTTTACAGCTGCTTTCAGTTCAGCTTCTGCTGTTTCTTTCACAGCTTCTGTTGAATACTGGCTTTGGGATAGGCATTAATTCTGTCTGCTAAATTCATTAGGCAGAGCAGTCAAGTTACAGCACCCATCCAGCTTGTAAATGGGTTTTTTATCCTGCTGTATCTCACAGTGGTACATCTTTTGTTCACAAGCTCTGCAAGTTATTGGTTTGGGGTTTTTTGTAACAAATGCTGTATGAAAATGTGAAGAAATTTAAAAGGACCAACACAACAGAAAAAGGCAAGCCTGCACTTGCTCCAGTCAATGGCAATGATTTCTCCTGCTGAAGGCTGTTCCCAGTGTCAGTATGCCACTGACTGACCTTTCTCTAAAGTCAATGCTCAGGAGCACTTAGCACTCCAGCATTTGGCAGCAGCAAATTTAATTGAGGTCATCATAACATATATGAGCCAAGTAGAAGGGGTTGAAATTTTTTAAACACAGACAGGACTTTTCAGTGAGTCAAAATAGCAAGTGACACAATTAGGGGAAAAAAAAAAAAAAAAAGGCTGCTAAGCTGTGGAGCAGCCTTTCCAAAACAGTCACTGGCACATTGATTCAACCTTACCTTGTCACAGAAGACTTTAATTTGGCAGTAGGCTCTGTGGACAGGTTTGTTACTCCTGTTATTGTAGCTGTAAGTGTCAATCTGAAGATTCAGGGGCAGGCCTTTAACTCCCTTCTGAGAGGAAAAATCTGTGCTGAGGCAGTTCACAGAAATGAAAACCTGCAGAAGAGGAAAGCAGAAGCTGTCAGTAGTGACACACGGACTCCTGGCTGACCACTGAGCGAGGGATACTCGTGGACTCCAAGGCCCAAATGCTGGTCCTTGCCACTATGAGCAGCACCTTCTCTCTTCTGAAACACCAGGTGAAATCCCCAAGAAGCAATATAACATTCTTAAATCTTTACATGAGCCACTGGAGGGGACAAAGCCACTTCATCCGAAACAGATTTCAACAGACCCTCCAAACTTTAGAAAGACTTCACCCATCTTTCCACCCAACTCAAATGTCACTATCAAACTTTTACAAAACCAAGGGATGCTCCTACAATTAATCCTCACTACTCAGCATTTATTAGCATCTTGGTAAGAACACAACCATGTTCCAAAAAATTCATGTTACTCTGGGTAAGTTAAATCTTTCCATGAGTTTGACATGAGCACAGCTTATGCTTGAAAGTACTTGGCTGAAGTTTTTTTCTAAAGGCTATTAAAAGCTTTAAAAAAAATATTAGGCAATATATAATCTTTAAATCACACCATTATTCCAGTGAAGGTTTCCAGGCTTTGCACTAAATTGAACACTACTTTGAATATTCCTTAGTAAGACCTTCAATACCCTGTAAACATTCAGCTGGAAAGGGCAAGAGAAACATTTCCATTATTCTTACAAAAAATTAATTACAGGGAAAAATAATTGCATGTTGGAACATATCTAATTTAATTTTCATAACTGCTTGAAAAAAAAACACACACAAAAAAACCCTCTCAAAAACACAAATCACACACAACCAGAGAACAAGCCCAATGCTGCTTAAGAGAGTAAAGAAATATCCTTAAGTGGATATGAGCAAATAGACCAGAGTACTTTGTATCTAGATAATGGGCTTGCAGTGTGCCAGGCTTTTCTACAGACACAATGCCTATTAGTGGCACATCTCCGAAGCTGTAAGGATTAATTACCAGGAATCTGCGAGCCACCAAGACCTGCAACGGCTTCTCTCCTCTGCCTGAAGAATAAAGGCTGGGAACTCACTGCTTTAAAAAACAATCAAAGCCTTGGGAGCCAGAAGCACCTTCCCAGAGGTTTTGCAGGAGCACCATCCAGCACCCGATCGCTCCCTCGGTGGTGCCTCCACCAGCAGCACTGGAGCAGCGAGCTGGTGCCACCTCCCGGAGCTGCAGGGGCGCTCACAGGCTGCGCCTTTGCTAAGGGCTGCTTATTTATCCACGTCCTCCTCACACGGGTTCTGCAACATCCCTTACCAGCTTTAACAACGACGGGAGGTGGAAATGTAAAACCCCGATCTGGTGATAATTTACAACCATTGATTTTTCCCAGTCATGTATAATATAGCTGTATAAAAAGCTGGGGCAGGTCAGAAAAATAGTGCAGGTGAGGGACTTCTCTCGTAATAAGCTGTCTGAATATTGGGGATTCACATGCTGCAGCCCCTGTGCCCTGAGAGGGCAGTGCAGCTGCTCAGCAAACAGCCCCTCTATTCCCTCCTGTGCACACACCATCCCAGAGATTCCAATTCCCATGTCCCCAGCAAGGCTTGCTGTGCCAAGGGACATGGAATGAGTGAAACACCACCCAACCCAGCCAGCACAGCACATCAGCAGAGCCCCTGACCCACACTGCTGCCTCTGTGGGGACTGAAGCCAGGAAGATGTGCAGGATGCCAGGGGAGCTGGTGCTCAGTGCCTGCTCACCATCCAGCCTGTGCCCCAGCATCCCAAACCCACGCTGTTCCAAGACACCTTTTTGTGAAAGCATTAAACACATGGCAAATTGCAGTCAGGAAAATTATTTTAAAATAAGCTCTTTGCAGTCTTCCCCAGACTAACCCAAAGGATGGCTTTGCCTGCTTTTATCCACCCCACTTCCCTTCTTGCTACCTTTGGCTTTACAAGGGCATTTTGCCTGCAGTGCTGGTACACCCCGGGGGAAAGCTTCAAGGAGTTTGAAGAGCTGCTCTCACCAGCTTGGGAGCTTGGTAATCAGATGTATGCACACCCTGAATAATTGAGTTCCCTGAGCAGGGGTTTTGTTTTTTAAAAGACCCTCAACTCTGGTGTTTGCATATTTTTACATTTTAAATTTTAATTTTAAATTTACCTATACTGAATATTCATTCAACTAATTTCTATATGAAAAAATGACTACAATCTTTAAGAAAAACATGCCCAAGCAGCCACATCAGCAGGTCCACCACTGTCTTGAAATTTCTGTGAAATCCCTCAAATGAGTTTCACACCACTGGACACCAGAAGATTCAGTGTGCAGCATCAGTCAGTAGTTCTCTAGCACATGGTGTCACTTCTCTCCTGAGACTTCATGTTTTCAGTTTTTATGGCTTACCAGCCACACAAACCCCACTGGGCTGAAGGTAGAAGAGCTGGTCTCAGCAAACAGACCCATGTTAGTACAGCAGAGCTGCACAGGTATCTCATGGGAATTTAGGACTCCCTGTCAGATGTCAAAGATTATCCTCCTACTTTAGAGTCTCCTCATTTGATTAGCTTTGGCTTTAAGCAGCTGACTTCATTTTCATGCCATTTAAATCTTCAGGACTCTAGGCAGGAGATGACAACTACAACCTAATCACATCTCTGAAGCAACAGAGCGCCAGCCTGTCTTCTCCTGTTTGTACTAAACCATTTCAGCTCAAAAGGAGCATTTATTTCTCCCTACCCACCCTGCAACTCCTATTTTTGTGCAACTTCAGGTTGCCTCAAGTTTCACAAAACAGAATTTTAGCAAACAGCTTTTCCAGTTTGGGCTAAGACAGTTTCAGCCAGGTTCTTAATGTACAGGAATATTTGACTTACATTAGAAATGAAATGTAAGGCCAAGTGACTGCATCAGCTACATCCCCACCCCAAAAGTGCCAGAAGAAAGAAAAACGTAACCGCAGAAGTTGCTCTGCGTCTTCAGCCTGCTGAGCAAGATTCCTTTCCATGTGTCCAACCTATTTTTCTAAGGGCAGTTCCGCATTCTCAGCTATATTAAGATTTGTTGTTACTTTTAAAAAAAACATTTTCATCTCACCTCCCAAGATTCAACATAAAGACAGCACTTAAAAATAGAGCACTGTCAAGCCTGGGCACTTACACACGAGTCAAGCCCTCAAAAGTTACGCAGATTTTCTTTAAAACTGAGATTTGTAAAGGGATTAGAAACCTGTTCTCGAGTTATTTTGCTTGCTCGGCAGTTGAGCCTCTAGTCTATATTTGACTACATATATCTAGGCTATCATATAGCCAGGCTTTTCTCTCTAACCCAAGGCAGGCTTTATTCCCTTTTTTTTTCCTGTTGATTTTTTCCATGCTTTTTCTAACTCCTTTCAAAAAAAAAAAGCTGAGATACTCATTGAGGCAAATGACTTCACAATGGTGGAATATCAGATAAAATCAAACAGCATGAAAACTGTGAGCTGCTACAAACTGCTAACCTCCCACACCTGGCATTCACCCCAACACTCTAGAGCCTCCTTTCCCCAACACCATGCTGGGTTTCCTGCAGCCTTTGGGGCAGCCCAGCTGCACACAACAAAAGACTGAAGGCAGAAGGATTAAAGCACCTCCTCCGGGATCATGCTGGAAGTTAGCGTGGGAAGAAGTCAGACCTCATGACTCCTCTGTCTGCTTTAACCATGCGACCCCTCATGCCCCTCCTCACCTAAGGTGGGAGGAACACACCGTGCCTACATTCAAATCCACGAGAAACAATCTTCCATTTTAATAATGCAGAAAAAAATTAATCCGACAGCTCTGCCGTGTGCCCTCAAGGAAGGGCAGCAGAGACAGCCAAGTTCTTTCCACACAGCACCTTTTTTAACAAGATCTGCCTTTCAAACAAACCAGGAAAAACAGACATAATTAAAGGGCAATCAAAGTGCTGCAGGAACCTCTCTGTCAGCGAGATGAAAGATGCCTTTTTTAAATGAAGGCTTGCATACCCAGATCTCTTCTCCTCGGTTTATCTTGGACGCCGTACTCTTCTGCCACGCAAAAAGCACTAGAATTCTGATGAGTCCAAAGGCTACATATGCAGCAGCTCTAGATGAAATGTCACCTTGTGCAGGCTCATCTGCCCAGCTGGAAAGGAGCAGTATAGGCTCTCACCCATGGCAGCCGGGGCTGCCACAGGCAATGGGGAGCAACTTGTGCTAGCACACCATGAACTCTGACTAGTCAGAGCAAACACAGGCAAAGTCCTGTACATCCTTCTGGATAAGGACAGGCAGACTTGGGACTTTTCTAGCTCATCACCTTGCTCACATTTATTTAGTTTCAAGAGAAGGCAGGTAAATGGTATTATCTCCTCCTATTTGTGATCCTTTATATTTCTGTGTCTAAAGGATTAAGACATTACTCAACAACCCAAGTCCACTGAATATTTCTTTCTCTATTGAGAATTCAGGTAAAAACCTTAACTCTTTTCTCACACTAGTACACAAAAGCCTCTTATTTTAACCACAGAACAGTTTGGGTTGGAAGGGACCTCAAAGATCATCTAGTCCAGCCCCCCATGTTATGGGCAGGGACACATTTCACCAGACCAGAAGGCTCAAAATCCTATCCAACCTGGCCTTAAACACTTCCAGGAACAAGGCATCCACAGCTTCTCTGGGCAGCCTGTTACAGTGCCTTAGCACCCCTCACAGTGAAGAATTTCCTCCTAATATGTAATCTGAATCTGTCAGTTTGAAACCATTCACCCTTGCTCTGTATCACTGTAAGCCCCTGTAAAAAGTCCCCCTCCAGCATTCTTTTAGGCCTCCTTGTGGTACTGGAAGGTGTTCTAAGGTCTCTCCAGAGCCATCTCTACTTCAGGCTGTACAACCCCAACTCTTCAGCCTGTCTTCATAGGAGATATTCCAGGCTATGTTATATTCAGCCTATGTTATATTCAACTTAAAATTGTCAGGATGTTTTTGATCTTGGATGACTGTGTTTGTACAGAATACAGAGTTTAGAGCCTACAACACAACCAC